GGGCGGGGAGCGCCGAAAGCCAAACCCGGCACCGACGGGCTTCTCTGTTTCCATGGAGACGAGAGAGCACGTGGTCAAGCCACGTGAGTCAATCGGTCCCCGCTGTGTTCCGCCCTGGGTCTGGGCGGCCAGTCAGCAAGAGATGTTTGTGACGTCACAGGTGGGTAGTGCTCGTGCCTTACCACCGTCCCTGCCTCCCGTCGGTCTTCCCTGCATCCCTACGCCCCTTGCTCGCTGCGGGGAACGCCCCGTTTCTCAGGTAGCAGAACTGTTCTGCCTTGTCTCTGCCCCTGCAGTAAGGGTGGTAACTAACAAGTCATTTACTAGTGGAGTAGTCTGTGGAATCATCCTTCGCTTGACTAGTGGATAGGCACATTTCAAAGGAGGAATGCGGGATTCTGTGTGCAGCCCAGGGCCAGCGGGAAGTCCTGCTAACTCCAGGTTCCCAAGGGCGCTTACCCTTCAAAATGCACAAGAGTCCCCCTTTCCCCCGGGGATATCCCGCTGGTCCTGGGTTGCATGCCAGGTGCCAGCTTTGAAATGTACAAGAGTCCCCAGTGGAAGCTCTTGTGCATTTCAAAGCGGAAGTGCTCTCAGGGAGCCTGGGATCATCAGGGGAACTCAGATTCTCTGGCTGACCCCAGGCTTCATGCAGCCCTGCCATTTTGAAATGCCACACTAGAGCCCAGGATCAGCTGGGGACTCCCCAGCTGACTCCGGGTTCTTAGGAAATGCTGCTGGGAGCCCGGATCAGGTAGGGAGTCCCCGACCCTGGGCACCATGCAGAGTTGCCATTTTGAAACACCGCAGCAGCATTTCAAAGGGGCAGTGCTGCACAGGGCTGGGGTATGGACTCCATGTAATATTGCCACTTTGAAGTACCCTCTCTTTCCCCCCTTTGCTGCCTCTATCCCAAGGGGGAGGGGGGAATCAACTAGTCCACTCAACTATCCGATAAGCATTTGCTTATCAGATAGTCCTTAACATCCTTACCCTGCACAGGGGTGACACGCGGTCAAGTCTGGGGTAGAGGGAACTGTGATGGCGGCGCCACCTGCCCTTCGATGGGGATGGAAAGAAGCAGGAGGGTCAGCCCTATAGCTGCAGGCATACACACAGCCAATCGCTGCCAGACAATGCATAGTCCACATACAGCCACCCACAGTGCACAGGCATGCACACCACAGACCTGCTCTGGCTGCCCTTTGTTGGGCACTCACCAAGCTCCCAGATTTTGAACTCATTGGAGCCATGTGATCTTTGTGCCATTTAGTCTGGGTATGTTCCTCTCATTGTCTCTTCCTTTGGCCTTCACCTTAAGACCAGTCTCGAACCCCACAAGATTCCCCAGTAGCTTAATTGTGCCTTTACCAACATCCCAGCCTTGAGAGTGCTGCTCTGAGTCACAGTTTGCCCTTCAGGAACATATGATAGATGAGACAAATGTAGCCCACTGTCCAGCTGGCTTCAACAGCAATTGTGAGAACTACAAGTTTGGACTCAGAGGTGGAAGTAAGGCAATGCACCTCAGTGTACAGCTCCAGTGAGAAAGAACTGGCTGGCACTGGGGTGCTCTGCTGCAGGAGAAGGCATGAGACACTTCCAGCTGTATTCCCAGTGCTCTGCTGCTGGCTGGCACAGTAAGCAGCAAGCAGCCAGGCAAGTTAAAGGGGCTGGTTGGGGTCACGCTGTAGGAGGTCCTGGTGGGGTGTCTGCATCCCAGATTCTGGTGCCCCTCTCTTGCTGTGCTGGCTGGATGCCGGACAGCACAGGAACAGCAGCAGTGTAGTCTAAGAATCTGTCCACAACCTGATAACCTAGCCGTGACTAAGAATTCTCCAGCCCCCAGGCCAGCCCCGAGCTCCTCCACCAGTCTGGGAGTGCCTCCAGCCCTGAGCCCCTCACGCAACATAGCATCATTTAGCAAGGGCAAGAGGGGTCCCTCCAAGAATCATTTGCTCTTCTTCCCCTTCCCTTCACTATCAGGTAGTGAAAGGAAAGCACTGGGCAGTGAGGGGAGGGGGCAGAGGAGTAAGTGACACAAGCTGTGTACTTTCCTCTTGCTCTCTAATAGTGACAGGAATTTTACATAGATTTGCAAACATCCCAAGTAGCAGGATGTACCCCAAATAAGGGCATGTTAGGTATCTTACACAACTTTTAGTCAATTGTAGATATTATTAGAACGACCAAGTTGAGTATAAATATAGGTGTAGGAAGGCTAATCAGTAGGAGGGACTGGACAAGGTATTCCAATATACAGTTGACTTCCGATAATCCAGAACCTTTGGACCAAGGTGGTGCCAGATTATCATATATGCCGAACTATCAGGAGGTGCTATAAGCTGGTTATATACTGTGTATGTACTGGTTATATACTGTGTATATATATATAGTATATACTGTTTATAAAGTGTTTTAACCCTTTTTATTGTAGCACAAGCACTGTCCAGCATCACACAATGCCAGTGGCAGACTGACTCGGTCCTGTCCAGTTTCACTCAGTTCAGCTGCTGCCATTGCTGCCTTGTAACTTGTTTTTTACCAAAGCTCACTCACTAGGCTCTTGTTATTTTGATACTGGACTATCGGAAGTCCCATATAATTGGATGCTGGACTATTGCAGTTTTACTGTACCTTGCTTGAAGCAACTAGAAGCTGGACCTGTTCATTCTGGCACATGCATTGCGAACACCTCTACATGTGGGGAAAGAACGAGGCCACTACCTCCTATCCAGCAATTATAAGGATGCTTATGGTTGAACTACGTATGATTTATAGAAATAAGTACATGTATATCTATATCCTTAAAGTTGTGTATTTTGCTAGGTGTGGATGTTCCTATATTGTCTGTGCTAAAACTACCCCCATTTAGTGGAACAGATATATGTAAGTCTGTATTGTTTCTTTTTACTTATTTATGTATAATCAAGTTAGAGGTAGAGCTTGTCCTTTGTGTCTTCTGGCTCCTTTTGTATCTGATATCTTGAACACACAACAGCTGGGAACCCTGTGTCCAGACCAAAAGGTAAACTGGAAGGATTATATTGAGCCCATGAGTCATACATATAACTGCACCCAGCATGTGTCCACTGGGTTTTCCCCATTTTAAAAAATATTTGGCTGGCACTGAATGTAATCTGGTTCTGGGTTTCCCCGACTCAGGAGATCAGGTGGTGGAGGTGGAAGAGTATATCTCCCCTTTGATTCTGGTGAACAGAGGTGAAAGTAAGGTGGTGTACCACTGTGGTAAAAGTCAGATGGGGTGCTCTGCTGAAAGAAGAAAAATGGCCACAGTTAGCTGCTTGATGAGAGGAGTAAAGACCAGGGCTTTGACTAGTGCTGCTGTGGAGCACTGTGCAGCAGGACGGTCTTGGAAACATTTAAATTGGTGGTGACATGATATTCAGTTTGAGAAGTTTTTGACTAAGAAAAGAGATGGGGTGACCCTTTTAATAAGTGGAGGCAAGGACATTCCCCCAAGGTCCAGGATGCTTCAACAGCAGTCGTGGAAACTACAAGTTGTGGACTACAAACTGTGGTATGTTGGGAGAACTTTATGATTCCTGCCAGGATGTACCCTCTGCTCTCCCAGCACTGACTGAGCTGGGAGAGCATAACAAACAAGCATAAAGGAAGCAGCTGGATTGTATTCCTGTTCTGTGTTCTTTACAGAATAAAGTCTGTTCCTGGTGGTTTATCTGAGTGGGTCTAGTCTGAGGTGAATACACACTGACACACAACAGAGCCTCAGGCCCAATTTCCCCTTATAAAAAGTCACCAGGGAGGTTTTCCCTATCTTGAACAACCTCATACTGGGCTAGTGAACAGGAATTAAGGCTATTCAAATAAGACACAGACTTTGTAGAAAGTTTGTTAAATTCAGCATTCATTTCTTTAGCCTCCACAAGAGATACACAGATCAATGCAAAATGAGATACACCTGTATTTGGTTCCCAGCCATCATTCCCTCATCATTTCTTGAAATTTAGATCACTCAGGTATCTCCCCAGTCCCTCTCCTAAATCTCAAATCAATCTTCTCTTTCTGTTCAGGTCTGAAAGAGCAAACCTGGTAATTTTACAATCCCCTTTCTGTCCTCTTATTCTCCTGGTAAGCCTCCCTCCCCAAACAGGTGATTAAGTTCTGCTATCAGGTGGTCTACTGTTTGGTGACAACTTATCTGGAGTTCATACTCAAAACTGCTTTTACCTAGGTTGCAGCAAGCGTTTTGTTCTAGGGGGAGGCTTATTGCATTATTAATGACCCTTTATGACTGGCCCACTCAGAAGGACAAAGATGGGTGAGCTAATATTTGCTATTGAACCATTTTTTGTTCCTGAGAAAAGCTTTACATAGAGCTCTTCTTCAGGTGTGGAAAAACTAAAGACGTGTCTGCACTCCAATCTCAAGCCAAGCGGGCTGATTTACAAAAGCCATCACTGCAGTGGCTACTGGTCACACTATCGCCCTTCTGTTGCTGGTGCGCCTCGTCATGAGAAGTGCCTCCAACAATTGAAGAGGGGCAGTTTGGGGGTGTCTAAGAGCTCGGGCACTCAGCTCTGCACAGCTCCCCATTAGGAGCACAGCCGTACGCCGGGCATCTCGCCTCGCTAGGAATGGCTGGGGAGCTGCGCAGGGCTTCTCTTCCCCAGCGGGGTGATCCGTGCGCGGGGTCCGGTCAGCTGCTGCGCTTCCAGCAGGGTCGGCTGCACACGCCTGCGGGAAGCCCCAGGGGCGGGCGATACGGCCCTCCCTGGCACCCCCGCCCCCGTGTA